ACATACTTCTCCGCAACTCGTGGGACCCCATGAAGAAAAACAAAACAATAAAAATCCCGCAGGATATCCCTGCAACCGGTGTCGCAAGACACTTCGAGGAAAGATCCCTCGAACATCCCTCGCGACAGACCCCAGGCGGCAGCGCACCCGCCTAGGACTACACCAGCAGCCCAGACATTCCCAGCCAGGGAGCGTGGGGTGCCAGCAGGAGCTACCCTGCCAGCACGCCCACCTCTCGCATCTGATAGGCCAACCTCTATCAGACAGCTGAAGAAGCAGGACGCCCTTCCAGCCCTGGGACAGCCCGGAGGACTGGACGACCTGGACGGCGTGGCCTGCCAGGGTCAAAGGTAAAGTGGTACCTGAGGTATCTCATGCAGGGCATGACACCGGAGGAGGCCTTGATGAAGGCAAAGGAGCCGAGGGAGCAGCCGGCATTGGGGACAGCACCGGCTGGCAAACGGCTGAACACCAGCCGCACACCACCAACGGACACCCCCAAAAGGTCTAGGCACGGCCCAGGGGCTAGTGAGACGTCCTCACGGGTCCCTGAGCAAGAGGGGCCTAGCACATCAGCAGCAGCGGCAGAAAAGGCAAAAGTGCAGGCCAGGAAGATACCTTCCCAGCCCCATCAAAACCAGAAGCCGACAACCGCTGGAGGAAGACCCTCTAGCTCGGCACCGCCGGTCATCGGACCCCGTCCGACTTACGCGGAGGCTAACAAGAAAGCCACCCTCATCAGGGTGGCTATACTCCCGGAGGGTTTCCCGGCGGCCAGCCTGACCGCAGAGGAACTATCCGGGCTCCAGGAGTCGGTCATGGACGAGATGCTCACGTCAGCGTGGAGCGGTCCCGTCGTGTTCAGGGGAATCCACTTCAGGGTGGGTTACCTGATTATCGACTGCCTGGATGAAGGCTCAGCTGAGTGGCTCAAGATTGCTGTACCTCAGCTGCGGACGTGGAAGGGAGTACCCCTAGAAACCCGCACGGGAGCAGACATCCCGGCAGCGTACAACGCCACGTTGTTCTGCCCGAGGAGCTCCGACCGGACCAATGAGGAAATATTGGCCTTCATTGGTTTCCAAAACCGGGTCGAGACGGACGCCTGGAAGGTCATCTCCAGGAAGAACGACGGAGCTGGTGCACTCCTGGTCGTAGGGATGGACCAGACCGGAAGGGATGAGATAGTGGAGCGTGACCACGAACTCAACTTCCGGTTTGGCCACGTCACCGTGAGTGGTCTGAAAAAGACCAAGAGAGCTCCGGAAGAGACGCCCAATGACGGCATATGCAAGGCTGTCGAGGATACCCTCGAACCACCGAATGTGGAGCCGAAGTCACAGAGTGGTGAGCAGGATGAACAATCCATCACCAGCATGGACATTGGGGACGACCAAGGGGATGGACACCCTATGTCATCCCAAGAGCTGGCCCAGGAGCTCCTCCTGGACGAAAGCTGCGAAGAAGCCGAGGTTACCGTGATAGACGGTGGTGGAGAGACTTGCTCTCTCTCTTCACCAGACCTCACGGAGCATCAAACCTCGGAGTGATGGCTGCAACAAGCAGCACTCGGCTAGCCCAGGTAAACATCCATCGGGCCAAAGCAGCATCTGCTGTCTTGGCGAGGATGTTCACCTCCCAACACCTCGGGCTAGCCCTTGTACAGGAGCCATGGTGGCACCATGGCATAAAAGGCCTGTACACGAAGGACACTAAGGTAATATGCGATCCAGGAGGATCACCTCCCAGATCATGCATCGTTATAAGGAAAGATATCAATTATAGTATCTTTTCAGAGTTCATGAGCAGAGACTGGGTCGCCGTAGCCATCAACGGCACAGGAGCTGCACCAAGGCTAGCAGTGGCCTCCGCCTACTTTGCCGGGGAGGAGGCCTGTCCACCGCCAGGAATACCCGGGCTAGTGGACCACTGCCGGACGAACAAGATCCCCCTCATCATAGGATGTGATGCCAACGCACATCACGTGATCTGGGGTAGCACGGATGTCAACAACAGAGGTGAGCAATTACTAGAATTTATTTTAAACAATAACCTAGAGATCTGTAATGTCGGCGCCAGGCCGACATTTGTTACTAGGGTACGAGAAGAGGTGCTAGACATAACTCTAGTAACCAATTCTTTTAAACCCCACATTAAGAACTGGCATTTTTCACCAGAAGAATCAATGTCCGACCACAGGACAATTTTGTTTGAAGTAGCCTTCAAAACAAAAGATGTAACCCTAAAAGAAACCCCAGAAAAACAAACTGGGACAAATTCAGGTCAACTCTAGAGCTCAATCTTTCCAACGAACCGTCAGGATACCCTAGACATCCCTTGGAATTAGACAGAGCGGTAGACAACCTGGGCCACAAGATAGTAAATGCCTTTGAAGACAGTTGTCCTCTAGGTAGACAGAGGCGGGAAACAGACGCACCATGGTGGAATGCTAGTCTTGAACGACTACGAGTAACCACTCGGAAGCTCTTCAACAAACCAAAAACTGATAGAAACTGGGAACTATACAGGCAAAGCCTGACGCTCTACAACAAAGAGATCAGGAAGGCCAAACGGAAAAACTATAGGAACTTCTGTGAGGCAATAAGTAACGTCAACGAGGGCGCGAGACTGCAAAAAGCAATGGCTAAAAGTGCAGCGGATAGTAATTTAGCCCTGAGGAAAGGGAATAACACCTTCACCTCCACGGATCGGGAGAAATTAGAATTGCTATTTGACACGCATTTCCCGGGAAATACTCCCACCATGGGAAACGCAAGGCGTGATCAACATAGAACCCCTAGGACAGTAGCCAGTGACTGGGCAGCAGCCAAATCTATAGTTACGCCCGAGAAACTCAAATGGGCTATTGGAACCTTCCAACCATTTAAATCACCGGGATTAGACATGATCTCTCCAGCTTTCTTACAGCAGGGACAGGAACTACTCCTAACCCGCCTAACAAGACTAATGGTGAGCAGCCTAGCCCTTGGGTATATCCCAAGTGCATGGTGCAGCGATAGGGTGGTCTTCATCCCCAAGATCGGGAAGAAAGACATCACCAGCCCAAAGTCCTTCAGACCTATCAGCTTAACTTCGTTTTGTCTTAAAACGCTGGAAAAACTGGTAGACTACAACATCAGAAGAACAGCTCTCAGAGACTGTCCGCTGCAAAACACACAGCATGCATACAGAGCAGGCCGTTCAACAGACACTGCACTTTATCAACTATGTCGCACCCTAGAAGGGGCAATTGACAGCAAAGAAATAGCTATCTGTGCCTTTCTAGACATAGAGGGAGCCTTCGACAACACATCACATGATGCAGTTCGAGCTGCCCTGTCCAGAAGGAACATAGACACTACTACGAGCAAATGGATTGGCAACCTACTTGAATCCAGGCAAGCAACATGTACACTGGGTTCGGAAAGAGTGACAATTGCTACCAGCAAAGGCTGCCCGCAAGGAGGAGTACTGTCCCCTCTGCTATGGAGTCTGCTAGTAGATGACCTTCTCAGCAAACTTGCTGGAAAAGGAATTCAATGTCAGGGATACGCCGATGACATCGTGATAATCGCCAGAGGCAAATTTGAAGCGACACTCTGCGACATCGTCCAACTCGGACTAAGGACAACGCTGGACTGGTGCAGGGAGGTTGTACTCAACTTAAATCCTGCTAAGACAGTTATAATTCCTTTCACAAGGAAGTACAAACTACAGAGAATGAGACAAATCTCACTGCTAGGAACTCCTATAGAAACTAGCCGAGAGGTTAAATATCTAGGAATCACTTTAGATAGTAAACTGACTTTCGCTTCCCATGTCCAAAAGACATTGGAAAAGTGTTACAGAGCACTCTATACCTGTCGGAAAATTGCTGGGAAATCCTGGGGAACCAGGTCTCAGATAATACGATGGCTATACTTAATGATCGTGAGACCAATCCTCACTTACGGAGCACTTGCATGGGGCAAACGAGCTAAGCTCATCAGCATGCAAAACCAGCTAGGAAAACTACAAAGACTTGCCTGCGTATGCATGACAGGGGCAATGAGGACCTGTCCTACAACTGCCTTAGAAGTTTTGATGGAGCTAACACCACTCCACTATGTGATTGATATCCAACGCAAAGCTACACTCCTGAGAATAAGCACTGAGGGCACAGGTAAAGGTTGCATTCTAAATAACAGGGATGCGACTAATCTGTTAGGTGAGGTGCCCCTAATACTCCACCCTAGGGATGAAATGACAGCCGAACTAATCTTCGAGCAGAACTTCACAGCACACCTAGGCAATAAGAAAGATTGGACCACACTGTCAGAAGTGCACCCGATGGCTAAACACACCATTGCATGGTACACAGATGGATCCCTGACACAACAAGGCACGGGCCTTGGAGTGGTAGGGCCTCGCATAAAATACCACGAATCCCTTGGCCAATACACCAGCATATTCCAGGCTGAGGTATGTGCCATTGGACGTTGTGCAGAGCTCACCATACAGCATGGATACAAGGAAAAGGACATATCGATCCTTTCGGACAGCCGAGCAGCAATTACTGCTTTACATAGCAACAAAATCACCTCGAAGCTAGTCCTAGAGGTGAAGAGTAAGCTAAATATGCTGGGCAGCCGACACAGGCTGGCCCTCAGATGGATTCCGGGACATAAGGATATATCCGGAAATGAACTTGCCGATAAAATGTGTTACGGAACTGCATCTTTCCCGGAGGGCAGCGCCGGCTAGCCACGGAGTCCCAGGGCGGAGTACCCCCTATGCCCTGCAGTCCGAACAATCGATTCCGACTCATCGGACGTCTCACGTCGATTTACCATCTCTAGCACAAATCAAAACAAAACAAAACTATGTTTACATTAAGCAACTAAGACAATTTGACGAAATTGGTGGCTTCGATGTCCTTGCCACGACGCACCCACCCAACCTTGGGTGCCCCAAGAGAGATGTGGGAGGCACACCCCATCTCCGGCAGACCGGAGTCTATTCTGGTGGATTAGGATCGGCTCATCTCCCCGCCCAAGGTAACTCACACAACCATCTCGGTAGCTTGTTTACATTTAATTTTTGGTGAGATTAATAAGTAAATACATTCGTTATTGATTCCTACTGATAATCTATTCTTTTCGTTAGAAACTCTCAAGGCCGATCTCAGACCGTCGCCCAGATGAGAAGCGGTCAAAGCGGCAACAACCGAAAGGGAAATTTTTAGACGCTTAGAGTTCAAAGTGTCAGGCAAACTCGCCACACGGCACTAAATTGGAGGCGTTTGCCAACCGGGTCGCCTAATCCTGAGGAGCTCCAAGGGAAAAGAAGGGACGTGCTGACAAGGTAAGTACGCTAAACAAATCCCACAAGTTATTAAATTTCGCGACCCAATTTAGATATAGTTTGACGCGCGGCCAGGCTTCGGGCTTGAACCTCTAAATTTAGATCAGATTTCACAGTAAGTACTTTACAATCTTGACTGCATAATATCACAAAACAACAACTAAAACTAATTTTTTTCAGAGTTCAACGTCGCATGTGTTGAAACTGCAGCAGGAAAAACGCTGATGGCGAAGACCAGCGCGACTCCGCACGGAGCCAATTGGTCCGGAGGATAGCGTAGCGTGGCCGGAAGCAGGGCGTCGGTGGACTTGGAGATGACCACGTGGCCAGCGCGGGCATTCGTTCCCGGAACGGACTCACCGAGGGAATCCCCGTATCTGGCAGTCTTGGCGGCAGTCGCTGTAGCTGCTGGCGCTTGAGGCTGCTGCTGCTGCTACTGATCGCTGCTGCTACTGATCGCTGCTGCTGCGGCTGATGTTGCTGCTGCTGAAGCTGCTTCGGCTTATGCTGCTGCTGATGCTGCTGCGGCCTATGCTGCTGCTGATGCTGCTGCGGCCAATGCTGCTGAGGCCAATGCTGCGACGGCTGGTGGTCGACGACCAGGTTAGGTCCGCCTGGTAAGTTTTCACTTCCCAAATGTTTAAATTTCCGGGGCCCTTTAGTTAGGGTCCCCGGCGGCTTCAATGTAAAAAAACACTGTAATTTACAAGTTCCGGACTAATAAATAAACACTCACTTTGCGTTATTCAAACACTAATCACGAACTTAAATTTTGGGTTTTTTTCTGACCATTCTACTACTACTTCTTGCAGCGACTAAAGCAAAACCCTGACCTACACCAAAGTCGCTCGCCATGTTCCCTCCCGCTCTCTCAAGATGGGTCAGCGAACGTATTCAAGGCCATCTAACCCAGTTAACGAGCGAACCGGGCTAAATTTAAATAGCTAGATCCTCTCCCGCTATCAATAGTCGGTGTCACCACCAAATCTTATCGATAGCGGAACCTGCTGACGTATCGGTTCGTTTCAGTATTTTCCCGACGGCTTCAACTGAAAATGCAACACCACCCTGGATTCCGAGAGACGCTAACACAGAGTTTTAGACAAGCGCAGGAATACTTGGGAGCATTTGGATTTGGACTATTCGGATTCCGCCGGCCTCGATGCCAAGATGCAGTTCCAACGGTGTCCAACGCGGGGCCCACGCTTTACGGGAAGTAGACACATGCCGATTCTGAGCTCGTGTACTTTGTTATTCCTCTTTCCAGATCACAACCTAATGTCCTTGGCATGGTACACTCCGATCGGTCGTCCTTGAAGATCTTCAAGCTCGTACGCATTATTGCCGACTGTCCTGACCACCCGAGCTTTTAGGAACTTCCGAGCGAACTTTGCATTGAAGGCCTTTTTGAAATCGCTGGGGGCAAAGTTGCGGCGATACACTTCCTGACCTGGCTTCGCAAGGAAAGTACGAGCCCTTTTGTCGTACCGCAGGCGACTCCGATCGTATACATCTTCGAGGTTCTTCTGCACCTTGTCATGAATCACTTGGAGTTTATCAGCTGTTCTCATCCCAGACATTTCGTGATCACACAGCGACTTCAACTTCCTTGCCAACTTGTAGCTGGCTCCGTTCAGGAACATGTGTCGTCCGAATACGGTGAAGAACGGAGCTTCTCCAGTTGCTGAATGGACCGCGTTGCGGAGGGCCACCTCAATCTCCGGAAGATACGCGTCCCATTCTCGATGGTCTTCTTCTAAGTAACTTCGGATCGCCGCCAACACGCTTTGGTTCACCCTTTCCGCTGCGTTGCTTTGCGGAGAGTGGACTGGCGTTTTGATGTGCGTGATGCCAAAGCTCTCCATCGCCTCCTCGAAGATCTTGGACGTAAACTGGCGGCCGTTGTCCGAATGCACAATTTCTGGAACCCCAAACTTGTAGAACACCTCGTGAATGAGGAACTCCACTACATTGGAGGCCGATGCCTCTTGCATGGCCTTCAGAAATGTGTATTTGGAGAAGTGATCCACCACAACGAAGATGTAGGCCTGTCCCTTCTTCGACCTCGGATACTTCCCCAGGAAATCGATGTACAGCTTCTGGAATGGCTGCTCAGTCTGGACTCTCTCACCGATACCAACTTGCATCCGGAAATTCGGGGATTTCGTCTCCTTGCACACTTCACACCTGCGTATGAACTCCCGGACTTGCAGTGCCATGCCAGGCCAGTAAAACTGCCGCCGTAGGTTTTCCAGAGTTTTTCCCATTCCGCCATGAGCTGCCGTTGGATCCGAATGTGCACGCTCAATTATGCTGTGGGTCAGACTCTGGGGAATCCACAACTTCCATTCGAAGCCTTCAACCTCGTCATCCAGATTTGCCGAAAAGACTCTCTTGAAGATGAGACCATCCACTATCCTCAAGTCCGGTAGGTTGGCCAAGTTTTTTTCCACCTCTTGTAGCAATTCCGTGTACTCTTCTCCAGCAAACTCAGTGGTCTCGAAGCCGAGCAACTCTGACGGGTCCACCGTTAGCTCTTCAACACAACGCGAAAGGGTATCTGCCACAACGTTCTCGCTTCCTTTCCTGTGTTCGATGTTGAAGTCATATCCCTGGAGTTGCAATGACCACCGAGCCAGCCGACCCGAAAAATCTTTCATGGACATGAGCCACTTCAAGCTGGCATGATCGGTGATGCACGTGAACGGCATTCCTTCCACATACGGCCGGAACTTTCGAATCGCCAGCAAGGCTGCGAGGCATTCCTTTTCAGTGACGGAGTAATGGACTTGGTGACGATTCATCTTGGCCGAGAAGAACGCTATTGGTTGTTCCTGGCCGTCTTCATCCCGCTGGAACAACACTGCACCGACTCCGATCTGGGATGCATCGCACTGGATGAAAAAGTGCCGCTTGAAGTCCGCATGTACCAGCACTGGCGCAGTAGTTAGGGCCATCTTCAGGGACTCTACTGCCAGCTGTGCTTCTGGACTCAAGGAAAACTTCTTATTTCCCGTCTTCTTCAAGGATTCCGTGAGCGGGGCAGCCAAAATTGCGAAGTTCTTTATGAACCGACGGTACCAACCAGCGGTCCCAAGAAAGGCTCTCACTTCCTTCATGGTCCTTGGCTCAGGCATCCGCCTAATAGCTGCTACACGTCCTGGATCCATCCGCAGACGACCTCCACCCACTATGAAGCCGAGGTAGGTCAAAGACTTGAAGCAAAACTTCGACTTGCTCAGCCCAATGGTTAACCCTGCTTCCTTCAGGCATTCAGCGACTCGGCGAAGATACTTCAAGTGCGTTCTTATGTCGGGCGTATTAGCAGATCATCCAAGTAGACGAACACATTTGAGCGGATTTCAGCGGGAATTACTCGGTCCATGAGTCTCACCAGCCTCTGTGATGCGTTGCAGAGTCCGAAAGGCATCACACGGAACTGGTAAAGAGGCCGACCAGGAACCGTAAAGGCTGTGTATTCCTTGCTGCTCGTGTCCAACTCAATCTGCCAAAAAGCGAACTTCAAATCCACGCTGGAAATGTAGTATGTTTGCTCAATTCTGGACAGGATGCCGTCTATGCTGGGCAACGGGTAAGCATCTTTGATGGTCACATCATTAAGCTTACGTGCGTCTAAGCAGAACCGGTGTTTTCCAGATCTTGACACTACGGTGGTGCGGTTACTCCAGGGGCTTTTGCTCTCCTCGATGACTCCGAGCGCTAGCATCTTGTCGACCTCGTCCTCGACCACCTTCTGCTTCGCGGGAGACATCGGATAGGGTCGATCCTTGAACACTTTGGCTCCGTCCATCAGCTCAATAGTGTGTTTCTCCAGACTGGTGGTACCTAAGCCATCCCTCTCGAAAGTCAAGAACTGCTGCTTGATCTCCTCCAGCTCTTGTTCCTCGGCCTTGGAAAGCGTCCAGGACTCGGGATCGGGTTTCTCCTCATCGTCATCCTCGACTTCCGCGTAGTGTTCCATCTCCCTGGCGTGTAATTCTTCGGCCTTCTTCACGCCTTCCGAATTTATGTGGCCTATAATCGCTGGGGCCAGTCCGAATGCTTGCCAAAAATCAACTCCAAAATAAGCTGGCTGCTCCAGGTAAGGACACAAGTAGAAGAGAATGTGCTCTGTCCGTCCTCGGTATTCCACCGGTAACTTGACCCGTCCTATAATTGACCGATCCTCTCCAGAGGCAGTACGGACTGCGGACAAGTACTTCTGGACGGGCACATCCAAGGCCTCGACCAGCTCTCTGCCACCCTTTCCAAGCAGACTCACACTCGCTCCAGTGTCCAACAACCCCGTCAGTTGCTTGGTCAGAACTCGGACTGCGGCGAACGGTCTGGGATCTCGCGATAAACTGCGCCTCACGGCGGCCACTGCTTCGCGTCGGCAGTTCCGACGTTTGCGAAATCGCTCCCTGGCCTTTTGCACCTTGCGAGACACCATACGCATCCCGCCTAACTGGTGCTCTGAGAAGATCCTGTTCCTGGTCTCTAGATACCGCCGCATCCTCTCCGCATAAGGTAAGTATCGTAATGCAAACTTATTACTATTTTTAGAAGGTAAACATTTATCTAACCCTACCAGCTCTTCTTCTCTGCGGAACTCCTGTTTGGACGCATCCTCTCCGCCCTCGGATCGCCCAGCCGACCGTTTTCCGCACAATCCGGACATTTGGGAGACACAGTGTCGGGCTTCCCACATCGGTAGCAGAACAGTCTGCGTTCTGTTGCTGCGCAGTCACGGAACCCGTGATCCACGGCTCCGCAATTCCAGCAGCCGGCTCGGAACGGATTTTTAGGCTTCGCCCGCACTTCGTCCACCTCTTGCCACGGAGGATCCTCAGCAGGATCTGGGCCAATCGCCTCGCTAACCTTGGCCTTTTCCGCCAGAGGATACCGCATCGTGGTCCGTCCACGTCGTCCAAAACTGCGCTCCACCTCGCAGCACTCTTCCCGCAGTTCATCCACCGTGAGTACGTCCATCGCGTAGACAAACCTTGCGATGCTCTCCCTCAATCCCTTTTTAATAATCTTCACCAGCTGCCGCTCTGACAGTGGCCTTTTCAGTCGAGCCGCCAACTGCTGCATCGCATGGATGTAATCGCCAACTCCTTCTCCGGACTGCTGCTCCCTCTGCAGAAGTTGGTGCATCCGATCGTGCTCCGTCTGATGGCATCGGAACCTATCCATCAGCGAGGCTCGAAGCTGGGACCACCTGTCCACCCTGCAGTGACGCACGTGCACCCAGTACCACTCCCGAGCCCGCCCAGTGAGCAGCAGGTGGAAGTTTCGGAGCACCTCTTGCCACGGGCATTGGCACTGCCGCTGCAGGAACTCCAACCGGAAGAGAAAGTCTTCCACCGAGTTTCGCTCATCCTCCCCGTCGAAGGATACGCCCCACCGCTCAATTCGCCATTGCTGGTTGGCGGCTGTCGGCCCCACATTGGCATACAGACGCGGCTCCTCCCGGAACTCTGAGGCCCTGCGGTCCTCAATGCACCAGCTGCGGGCCGGGCCATCGTCTCGGCGCGACCTGAAATGATCCGGAGGATACCCGGGACTGCTACTTTCCAACTCCTGGAAATCCAGCGGCCTCCTCGTCGGTTTGGGTGGCACCCTCGGCGGAGGTAGCCTGGAACCGTCCCTGCCGGTGACCTGTGTGTTCTTCGGCACCGCACCTTGCGGGGCTTGACCAGGGATTCCCGCGTTGATCCTTGAATCCGGACGCCTTCGCTCATCCGGCATGCTCTCCAGGGGAAGCTGAGGCCGCTGAGCAGCAGGCCTTAACACCTCGTTCATCAGCTTCATCATCTCCAGGAAGCCACTTCGGATCTCGTCCCTCAGTGCCTGATTGATCCCGCCTTCTTGGGCCTTCCGATGGGTCTCCGCCGCCTGTGCCAAAGCCACATTAACGGCCGACCTTGCCGCGGAATCCACAAAGGGATCGTCGAGTCTTGCGTCCTTATCGTCCAGCTGCAATAACTCATCCGCTGCGGAACCAATTCCCTCCAGGATCTGCTGCTGCCTTAGGTCCTGCTGCAGCTCTGTGTCCTATGGTCCTTTTTGCTCTTGTTGCAGTCCCTGGCGCAAACGGGCAAGCGGAGTCCTGGGCAACCCTTCCGATATGCGCGGCAAGCCAGCCTCGGTAGCGCCCTCCACATCCGTGGACCACATCTTTTCGTCGTCCTCGCCTGGAAAACCTTTCGACCGAAGCAGGTGATCATGCTTGCTGCCTTGTCGCTTTGACATCCTGAATTTTGATAACCCCTAACACGACTTCTGAAATCCCGAATTCAACGTGACCACCAAAAGCCCAAATTATGTATATGTCGGAGATGGCTCATTTATTTCCATTTTTCGGACGCAGCAAGTTCTGTTCGTTTCAGTGGCGTGATCGTAACTGAACTCACTACGCACATTCCAAGTTATTTCACAAGTTTTGCAGATCATAATGCTATCTCTTTTCTACGCCCCTACGAACAGACCTTACTCAACAGCAGAGGATGTCTCTTTTCCTTAGCTGTTGCGCGTTCTGAAAACCACCGTTAGCGACATCGTGTCGCCACTCAAACTGTACATGCATGCACAATGGTCAAACTAACCATTCTATGCCACACATATACAGTGGGCAAATTAATCATTCTACGACACGGCCTTCCTGACAAATCACACGTCCTCGTGTGTTTGATCTAGGATTTTCTCAATTATCGTCAAATGTTATTTACCATTTAATTCATTAACTTTTATTTATATAAAGTTTCAACTTTTATACCAAACAATCAAATTGGTTTTACAATGACATCACTTAGACGTTTTCATAACATTTTGTCTTAAGTCAAACTTAACAATTCTTCTTTTCTGTAATTCCATTATGTTGTGTAGTTATTCTAACTGATTTTAGCCATAACAAGTCCTTCTGTCATGGTGCTATCAACACTGACCCCCGCCACAGTAAGTCCTTCTACTATGGTGCGATCGATTGACCCCCGCCATAACAATTCCATCTGTTATGGTGCGGTCGATTGACCCCCGCCATAACAATTCCATCTGTTATGGTGCGGTCGATTGACCCCCGCCATAACAATTCCATCTGTTATGGTGCGGTCTCTATATCCCCTCTTGGGATTCCAAGGCAACTGCTGTGCCATCTTTATCTCTATTTCTCATTTCAGAGTCAGATGCATCTCCTCTTGAGTCATCTAGTTCTTCATCAATTTCTTTACTTAATTCTCTATTGGGCAATGCCCTCAAAAACTCATGTGCATACTTATAAGTTCTTTTGCTTGTTAAAGACTTTAAAACATATCTATCGCCATCTAGTTGTTCGATTATTTCGAACGGACCTTTAAATTTCGGATCAAGCTTAGTTTGGTGACGCTCTTCGTTTTTTATTAAAACATGGTCTCCCACATTATATTTTATTATCTTTGCTTTATTCTTATCATATCTATGTTTATCATAACGAGCATTAGCCTCCATATTTTCCTTGGCTTGTTTTCTTATAGACTCTCTATCAATTAAATTATCCTCTTCTTCACCTATTGGTAACAAACAAAGAGGTCTAGATTCTCTACCAATTAGCATTTCTAATGGACTAAACTTTGTGACTCGATTGGTGGTACAATTAATTGCCAATTGTACTTCGGTTAGAGCATCTTGCCACGACCTCTGACTGGTTTCGACTGCTGTCAACATACTCTTAAGCGTGCTCATTATACGCTCTACCTGGCCGTTTGCCCTACTCGCGCCTGTAGCAATTAAGTGTAGCTCAATCTTTTGGGAGGAACAAAATTCACGGAATCCTGAGCTTGCAAAATTGCGGCCCTGATCCACTATAATGCGTGTAGGCGCACCAAACAAACACACGACGGCCTTAACAGCTTTGATTGAACATTCAGTATCAATATTTAAGGTGTGATGTAAGTAAACAAATTTCGTGAACGCATCTACTAAGACAATTACGTACTCCTTTAGGTCATTCTTTCCACTCATCTTTCCTGTTATATCAATATGCACTGTGTGCCACGGGATGTCTACCTTAGGAATCGAATGCAATTCAGATTGAATTTTTCCAACTGGTGGCTTAGCTAATTTGCAAGTAATGCAATTTTCAACAAATCTACGAACGTACTTTGACATATTTTCAAACCAGTAAAATCCATAGACTTTATCCAATGTTTTCTCCCAACCTAGATGCATGATGGATTCATGAACATGATTAATCACTGCCCATCTAAATGCCCTAGGGATTACAGGCAAACATTTAGTCCTGCCATTTCGTTGTATCTTTCTATATAAAACTCCTTTCCTTAATTCATAGGTTTTTAATAAATGCTCTGGCAATTCGTTATTTTTGAACTTAGCTAATGTATCTGCTACCTCAGGGTCACGTTGTTGTTCAGAAATCAACCAGTTGTCAGTTACCTCGGTTAAATTAATGCGTTTTTCTGGAATTTTATTTTGACCATTATTTTTATCGGGCACTGGATTCCGAGATAAACGATCTACATGCGCCATACGATCACCCTTCCTGTATTCTATGTTAAAGTCAAACGATTGTAAAAATGCCCACCACCTATGTACCCTCGGCGTTAAGTCTAGCTTTGTGCGACTAGCCTTTAAGGAATTACAGTCCGTATATACGACAAATTTACGTCCCTGCAAGTAGTGACGGAAGTGTTTGATACCATTGACTACTGCTAGCGTTTCTAACTCGTACGAATGATATTTCGACTCGGCAGGGGATGTGCATTTACTATAATATTCTACCACATGGGGTTTCTCGTTAATTTTATGCAACAATATAGCACCATAGCCAATCGAACTTGCATCGGTGTGCAATTCTATTGCATGTTTCGGGTCGAATATAGTCAACACAGGTGCCTGCGTCAAAACTGTTATAATTTTAGTCCTTATTTGCTCATGTTGCTGTTGCCAAGAAAAATCAGAATTTTTCTTTGATGTGAGTTGATACAAAGGCTTAAGCGTTTCCGAGAATTTTGGAACGAACTGTCTAAAATACGAAGCCAATCCTATGAATTGTCGTAATTGCGACACAGATTGTGGAGGCGGTAAATCTAACAATGCTTTTACTTTACGTGCGTTTGGACTAATTTCTCCGTTACTTATCTCAAAACCTAGGTATTCTATGCGAGTTTTAAGAAAGGAGCACTTGGTTATGTTAAATGAAAATCCCGCTTTACTCAATGCTTCTAATACAATACGCAACCGTTCTAATCCTTCTTCTTTAGTTTCGGCTATAACCAACACGTCATCAATGTAAACGACAGCGCATGAGTGTGCCAGTGATCCCAATGCTCTTGTTATGGCCCTCTGAAAAACAGAAGGTGCATTTTTCAAGCCAAAAGGCATGGTCAAAAACTCGTACTGGCCCTCTGGAGTCACAAACGCGGTTCGTTCAATTGAATTTTCGTGTACTGGAATTTGGTAAAAACCACTAGCCATATCTAAGCACGAGAAATATTTTGCACCGCGAAGCCGGGAAATTTGGTCTGCGATAAGAGGCAATGGATACCTATCAGCAATGGTATTATCATTTAACATCCTGTAGTCCACACAAAGACGATCAGTGCCATTTTTCTTTTTCACTAACATCATTGGGCTGGCGAAAGGTGAGCAACTTGGACGGATAATATTTGCTTTTAACAACTCATCGATTTTACAACGCACCAGGTTTTTCTCTTCCTCGCCAAGCCTATAGGGACGTCGTTGCACTGTCTTTTGTGGATCTATTAACTTAATTTCCAACAGCCCTGTCGAGACTCGAGTTTTTGGTATTCCACTAATAAACCAGTCAGAGTAGCATTTTAGGATATTTGTTAAGACAATTTTATCGGAATCAACTAAATCTGTATCAGAACTTATAATATC